AATATCAAGGTGTCACCACAAAGTCCTGCTACTGACAGTAATCCTGGGCTGGCCCATAGTGCCAGAACCCCCTGGGAATTGCAGCACTGATCAGTAGGTGTGAACACGCTTTCAAAAGGAGGGGCAGGATCATGTGCTCTATGTTACAGATGGGGAAACTGAGGCACTGGGTGTGCGGGGGAGGGACTTGATCCTGCTCACGCAGTGATTCAGCAGCAGAGCCAGGAAGAGAACCCAGGCGTCCTGCCTCCTCGTCCTACACCCCAAAGAACGAAGCTCTGTCATTTTTTTGGTGGCTGCTAACCCCGGCTGTGAAGGCGCTCCTCTCTAGAGCAGGGCGCAGTCTGATGCCAATGCCCAGCTGAAGGCCTCACAAGCGCAGACCTTAACAAAGCTGCTGGGGGGGGGGTGCCCCAGCTCCGACAGCACCATGATTGAACCCACATTGCTATGGGCTGGCGTTGTAACAGCTTGACCTAACACCTCCCTCCCCCCCCACCATTAGCTGCTCCAGAAACTTCAGCTCCTCGCTGGTCTGTCACACCCAGCTGTGGGGCACTGTTCAGGAGGTGGCGGGTCTAGGGCCAGCTGCTGTCAGGGCTGAATGAGGTAGGTTGCCAGGGCCAGAGAGTGGGAGGGCTCCCCGGCTGGCTGGGAAGCTCTGCCCCTCCAAGGGCGGGGGCTTGCCCGTGCCGGCGTTGGGCCAAAGGGTGATGGGCCAGGAGAGGGGCCTTTCTTGAGCCTGGTCTCAGCCTGGCCAACCCTTAGGGTTCAAAGATCATGAGGCTGGCTTAAAACGAATCAGCCTCTGAAAACTCCCCTTGTGCCAGAAGGGGCCGATGGCTGCCGGCTGCAGGAGTCTTGGGCACAACCCATCCCAGCCGTCGGGAAAGCCACGGTGCGGCCAAGCACCCTGCTCAGCAGACAGCACCTCACGCCCCTTCATGGGGATAGACCAGCTGCAGGCGCTGGCTGGGCCACCCGCAGTAACAGACTGTGGGTGCGTCCGCACTGAGCCCCGCGGGCTAAGGCCAGTCCCTGGAGGGCAGTTGGAGACTGTGGGTGTGGGTGTGGCAGCTGTGAGTGTGTCCCCGATGGGAAGCAGACCATGGCTTTTTGGGCACAGAGCTGGTAGAAGGGCAGGCGTGGGGGTTTCTTAGACAGGGACTGGCCAGCTGCTGTTCACTTGTCCAGAGAAGCAGGCCGGGGTCACTATACAAGTTTACACCAAGAACACCCTGATTCATATGGTCGCTGTCTCAGTGTAATGGAAGCAACCCAGTGAACCTCTGGATTTTGACCCCCCAGGTGGGATAAAAGGGGCACCCCTAATACATTCAAGGGGTGTTTTCTTTGCCTTTTGGCTTCGGCCCTTTCAGTCACATTTGGGTCCCGTTTTTGGTGAGAGTCTCTCCTAATCACGGGACTCCTGGAGCTGGGGCTTTAGGAGAAGCACCAAATATGAACATTGGCAACGCTGTTCTGGTGAACCTTTGTGCACTAGGAGCTGAGCGGAGGCCACTACCCATGGCAGGAGGGCCACCAGCCAGGTGGTAACAGATCCCAGCCATTCCAGAGAAAACGCCCAACCCAATCCTGTGCATGGAGCTCCCAGCAGCTGAGGGGCAGTTGGGCTGGGATCCTGCTTCCCTCTCCTGACCCCAAGCCTCACACCTGGAACTCCCCTCAGCATCAGAGCAGAACCATACACCTTGGGCTGGGTTCAGCCTATGAGGTCAAAGAAGCCAGATACCACGGTGATGGGCACAGTCTCAGAATCTGAATAGGAGGGAGGTGCCAGCTGGTGGCCAGATCCTCAGCTGATGCTAATCAGCACAATTCCAGTGAGGACAACGCAGCTGAGCCCGTCTCCACCAGCAGAGTTCACTGTCATTGTTAACCCTTGAACCTACCGAGGGCACTTAGACATTATAGTGCCGGGGGCTCATACCAGTAGCTAAGAGCCACATACTGCCCTCTTATACTGTAGCAGAGACGGTCCAATGGACCCACATGGGGTGACCCCGGGGCTGTCCCAGTACAATGGCCAGACAGAGCTCTCTGATGCCAAATGGGTTCCCTGGTTTGAATCTGGAGGGTCTGCAGTGCCCTAATGAACGGTGCCTCTTTACCCTCGCAGCTCTGCCCCCACCTCAGCAGTGCCACACACTAGCAGAGAATGGACCCCCGAGACCAGATTCACACCACACTGGCTCATTGAGACAGATCTAGGTTTATTGAGCAGCTAGGGGCAGAGGCAACCAGACGCAAGGTGCTGTATGCTGCTGCTTTGACTGTCCATGGTGGAATGTCACTGAGGACAAGGCAGGCCGCTGGGCAGCCAGGTTGGTACATAGGGTTTAGATCAAGCCATCTGGAGACAAGGTGCTTCCATTATGCAGGGCTCCAGCCCTGCTCCTTCCCAGGGGATCAGCCACGGATTCAGCCCCGGCCACGCTGATTCCTCCCTCCCTTTCCCATTCCAGGAACCGGGTGCCAAGGCTGGCCGACAATCTGCCCTGGAGCAGGGCTCGAGAACTCCCTTGGCACGCAAACACAGCCCTGGGTCTGTGCTGTGCTCCCTGAGCCATGCTGACCGGGGCCTTTCCCAGGCATGGCTGGGGAATGGGCAAGGCCCAGCAATGCTGGGGTGCGGGGTACAGCACCAGCCTTACCAACCCCGCAGCAACAGCCTGGGACGGCTACAGCAGCACCTGGGGCCACTGCTGTCGGATCACCAGTCGGCTCGCTCTACATTTCTACCATGCTGTCCCAATGCTGGAAACCTCCCTCCCCGCACCTCCCAACAGCAGGGAGGGAGAAATTACCCTTGCTTTATGGAGGGGAAACTGAGGCTCAGAGAGGGAAGGTGACTTGCCCAAGGTCAGCCAGTGAGTCAGTGGCAGAGCTGGGAATAGGCCCCAGGCATCCTGACTTCCAGTCCCCTCCCCGAGCTGGGAATAGGACCCAGACATCCTGACTCACAATCTGCTGCTCCTATCACTGACCCAGACACCCTCCCACTTGAAATATTTTCCACACGAGGGACGTTCTGTACATGTCTCTCCTCCCTTCCTTCCGCCCCCCATTCCCATGCACTGAGCCTGGCATAGCCAGGTCTAGGATGGCCGGCAGCATGGCAGGCCAGCGGGGGACAGCCTGAGCCACGCAGACTTAGCGACATTATTGCCCCAGGCAAAGCACCACCCAGCCCTTCCTCCACTCATCTGGGGCAGCGCATCCCCTGGAGCTCACAGAGATCCACATCAGCGGGGCAGGGCCTGGGGGTGCCAGTGAGGGAACCCTCGAAGAGCGCAGCCTTCCCCTGTGATTGTATGGAGAGGCAGGCAGGAGGGCGATGCGGAGGTGGGGAGCCCCATCGCCTGGGCCATTTAAAGCTAGAGCAGGCGGGTGCTCAGAGACCACAGGAGCGGGCAGCCTGGCAGCCCCTCACAGGCCTGGCGCAGTTGCTTCGGGGGGGGGGGGGGCGGGACCTGTCGTGCCCTGGCCAGACAGAAGAACCACCTCTGTTGCTCACTTCCATGAGGAACCACGGCCTGACCCCAACTCCAGCTCTCCAACCCCAGGGCTGCGGTCCGCGTGCTCGGGGTGCCCGTTCCACGCAGAGGGAGAGGTGGGGGGCAGGAAGGCAGACGCTGCTTGATGCTGCCCCTGATGCTGCAAACGAGGATTGGGGGAGGATGCACGGGACATCCACAGCTCCCATCTGCCTCTAGGGGCTGGCCCACAGGCTAAGAGCCAGCTTGTTTGCTCTGCCAGAGCACGTCTCAGGCTCAGGTGCCCCTGCCCTGGTGGCACCGGGCCCGAGTGGTGGGGAGAGGAGAGCTCGCCCACAGTTGGGAGCGGTGGAGCCGTGGGGGTGTTTGCCCAGCAGGCCTGTCTGCATACACCTCCGCTGCTCTGGTTACAAGGTGATGGGTGCAGGGGGGGAATGCTTGTTCGGGAGCTGTCTGCTTCCAGCCACAGCAGGGTTTCGAAGCGGCTTCGTGGGTGGTCTCTCCCCCCCTCCCCAGAACACCCGGGCAGCCTGGTAACGGAGCGAAGGCCAAAGTCAATTAGCCGGGGAGAGCTGGTGCCGAACTCCCACGGCGAGACAGCCTGCGAAGCCTCCCGAGGAGGAGAGCGGGCCGGGGCTCTGCCAGCCTGTGGGAACGGTGCCCCGAGGGACTCAGAGCCAGCCCCATCGCTTGGGCCCCTTCCCACGCGCTGGCTGGGCAGGGGGCGCGGCCGGTCTGGTCTCTCAGTGGCTGTGATGTTCAGGAGACGACGCGGTAACTCGCGCTGCCTAGCGGGCTGGCCAGGTACCACCGGAGCCGGGGGTGTGCGCGTTGCCTTGGCCACGCAGTCTCTCTCTCTCTCTCGCCAGGACGCTCGGGGCCGACGGTCCCCGCGCTTGAAGCGACGGTCGTGGCCCGCCGTTCCCAAGCCGCGCTGGAGGCCCGGGTGCCGAGTGCTCGTTAGCGAACCAGTCACTTCGCACGGCGCGGCGGCTCTGCGGGGGTGAAGCCGCGGCCGAGCGGGGACGGACGGAGGGGTGGTGGAGCTCAGCTGGGAGCCGGCCTCTCTCGGGACAGCCGAGCGCAGTCCCGGGCGCCGTAACGACAAGCGGGGCAGAGGGCCGTCTCCGGCGTGTGTCGCACACCCGCACGCTCCGGGGGTCCGTGGCTGGAATGAACCCAGGCGGCGTGCACAGGTCGTCGGCAGGGGGCCGTCTCTGGCGTGTGTCGCACACCCGCACGCTCCGGGGGTCCGTGGCTGGAATGAACCCAGGCGGCGTGCACAGGTCGTTGGCAGGGGGCCGTCTCTGGCGTGTGTCGCACACCCGCACGCTCCGGGGGTCCGTGGCTGGAATGAACCCAGGCGGCGTGCACAGGTCGTCGGCAGGGGGCCGTCTCCGGCGTGTGTCGCACACCCGCACGCTCCGGGGGTCCGTGGCTGGAATGAACCCAGGCGGCGTGCACAGGTCGTCGGCAGGGGGCTGTCTCTGGCGTGTGTCGCACACCCGCACGCTCCGGGGGTCCGTGGCTGGAATGAACCCAGGCGGCGTGCACAGGTCGTCGGCAGGGGGCCGTCTCTGGCGTGTGTCGCACACCCGCACGCTCCGGGGGTCCGTGGCTGGAATGAACCCAGGCGGCGTGCACAGGTCGTCGGAGCTTGTGCTCCCCAAACACCCCCCGCAAGGGGGTCCCCGTGGCGGCAGGCGTGCTCGCGAGCAGGTACGGTCGCGTGGCGTGTCTGCCATCCCCGCGCGCGGAGCTGGGCGTGTCCACACCCCCCCCCACGCACACCCACAGCAGGGCCTGTCACGATGCCCTCCCCTGCCCAGCTCCATAGGCAGGGGCCGTTGGGGCCGGATGGGCAGGCAGGGGGCGCCGGGGCGGGAAAGACCCAGGAGGCAGACAAGGGAAGCCAAGGGGAGCTGGAATCCGGGACCAGCACCTGCTCCCAGTTACACCAGAGTTACCCGAGCGCCTGCACTGGGACAGGGCACAGGATGGGGCCCTGCCCTGGCTGTGAGGACGAAGGAGGCTGTTTGGTTAAGTGCCACATCACCCTGCCCCCTCACCTGCCCCGTCCTCTGTGCTGAGCCTGGCTCCTGGGGTCTTGGTCCCCAACGGCCGGGGGGGCTGGCAATGGGAGGGCACTGCCACAGGCAAGGGGTGACCCCCACACGCACCACTCACGGCCACGCTGCCGTGACCCCCCACACGGACCACTCCACGGCCACGCTGCCGTGACCCCCCACACGGACCACTCCACGGCCACGCTGCCGTGACCACCCACACGCACCACTCCACGGCCACGCTGCCGTGACCCCCACACGCACCACTCCACGGCCACGCTGCCGTGACCCCCACACGCACCACTCCACGGCCACGCTGCCGTGACCACCCACACGGACCACTCCACGGCCACGCTGCCGTGACCCCCACACGTACCACTCCACGGCCACGCTGCCGTGACCACCCACACGGACCACTCCACGGCCACGCTGCCGTGACCCCCCACACGCACCACTCCACGGCCACGCTGCTGTGACCCCCACATGCACCACTCCACGGCCATGCTGCTGTGACCACCCACACGGACCACTCCACGGCCACGCTGCCGTGACCCTACACACGTACCCCTACGCACTCACTCTGCAGGGCCTGTCTGCCCACTCTCTGCCCCACGACCTGGCTGCAGCCTGGCATCGCTAGGATAGCTCCGGGCTACTCTTGCTGGCGATGGAGGGGCCAGGCACAGCTCGCTCCCCACCACGTCAGGCTGTGTTGAAAGCCGGCGTCCCCCAGCCCTGCGCTCCGGCCTGCGGCGGTGGAGCCAGCCCCTTCACGGCCACGTCGGCGTTCTGCACAGACTAACGGGCTCCTGCTGAGAGACAGACAAGGGCTTGTGTAAGGCATTTGCACAGAATGTGCAGCAGGGTCCCCAGCCCCAGCTACACCCCCCTGCACCCCCTGAGCTGAGACATCCCCTGCATCCCCCAAGCAGAACAGGGATGCCCCTTTGCCCCCCCTGCGCGGAGCGGGACACCCCCTGCACTGGGAAATGCCGTTCAGTTCCGCCCGTAAAACCAGCTGGGTTCACCAGCTCCAGGGCCCGGTCTGGCCCCAGCCCTTCTCCTCAGGAGCCGGGTTCGGGCTGTGGCACCGGACCCTCGCCATCAGCTGCCGGTTCCTGGCTGGCTGGGCACGTCCTGGCAGTGCTGCCCTAACACCACCCTGGCCCCCGTGCCCCGTCGCCGGTGCCTTTCCCTCTCCGTTATTTCTGCACACCCCCCCCCCGCCACGCCGGACACGGCCTGCCAAACCTGTCCCTCCCCCTGCCTGTGGGATGGGCACCGGCGCCAGGAGGCGGGCAGTGGGAAGCCGGCAGGGGCGGGTGGGAGAGAAGCCGACAGCCACGCCCGCGGGGGCAGCCTAAGCAGGGCCGGGGCAGGGTGTCGGGAAGTGGAGGGGAGACCCCCCCGGCATGCTGCCTTGCTGAGAGCAGTAGCCATGGCTGCTTGGCAGGTGGCACACCTGCTTGGCAGGTTGTCATCAGGTGCCATCACCCGGGCAGCTCAGTGCCAGCCAGGGCCCCGCGCTGCTAGGAGGTGGCTGGAGAGATGTAAAACAGCCCCTCAGCTTGCGGGCACGACTGCTCCCCTGGCAGGCGGGGGGTGCCGGCCCTGGCGTCCCGGCCGAATTCCAGCAGGGGTGATTACATCCCCCGCCCCGGGGTCTCGTGACTGGAATCTGCAATTGGGCGGCCTGGCCTGTCCCGAATGCCGAGCGGTGTGGCCCTGCTGCTAAAGGAGGCCAGGGCCCAGGGATTTGCAAAGAGCTGTGGGGGTGGTTCCTGGAGAGGGGGGCATGCGGAGGCAGGTTGCTATGGGGAGCAGCCGAGGACGGGGCCGTGGGTCTGGCTTCTGTCCCCCGAGCCGCTCGGTCTGGCCCAGCCTTTCTGGCCTGGAGAAGGGGGAGCCCAGCCGCCCCGGATCAGCGATGGGACAAAGTGATTCGTTAATGGGCTGGAGGGAAAGGGCCTTGTTCAGCACAGGGCCCCGGGGGAGGCTGGGGGTCTGCAAACCCGACCTGGCCAGACCCAGCTGCAGGAGGGAGCTGGAACCAGCCCAGCTGCCCGGCCCGAGGCAGGGGGGCGCTGCGCTGGAAGGGCTCAGTGCAGCCAGGTGGGACGCGGGCTCAACCCCATCGGCAGGAGCTGGGCGACAGCCTAGCCTGGCACTGATGGGCCCCACTGCTCCCGTCTCCTCCTCCAGCCCTCGCCTTGTCCCCACTGCTCAACGGCTCCTGACCCACTCCTGTCTGGTGCCTGGACTCTGCCAGCTCCAGCTGCCTGCTCCCTTGCCCGCCCTCCACCAGTGCCACCCCGAGGTGCCCACCCCCGAGTCCCTGCAGATGGGCTCCCCTTGCCATGTGCTCAGCTCTCCAGGCAGGGACCGACCTGCCGAGCCCCTCTTCAGCGCTCGCATGGATCCTACCTTTCCAGCTCTCCTCCGCGCCGGGTTCCCCGTCTCTGTCTCTCGGCCCAGTGGGTCCCAGGGGCCATGTCTGTGGCACAGGAAATGGGGGGCACTGCATCTTCCTTCCAGGCCAGGACCGCTTTGGGGCTGGCTAGGACCACACACTCTGCCCGGGTCCCCAGGGACGTCAAACAGACTCAGCCCAGGCTGGAAGCGGCCGCTGGCCAGAGCCAGGGGGGTGGTTTTCTGTGCCTTCCCCTATTTGCACACGCATGGTGAATTGCAGGGCCCCATGACACATGTGGAGGGAGGGGAGAGCCATGCAAGAGTCACACTGGAGTGCATTGCTGCCCCCTCACCTGTCACCCCCAGGGCTGAGCCCAGCACCCCACGTCGGAGCAGCTCAAAGAGCTGGCAGATGGGAAACCCCCTCCTGCCATGGGGAATCCACCCCCCAAATCACCCCAAGGCGTCACGCTGCCCAAGGCCACAAAGTGCTTCTCTTCTCTGCCAGTACAGACGCCAGGGCTCTGCAGGCCAACCCCTCACCACCGGCCCACCGCCCGCTGGGATGGGGAGCCCTGCCCCACGCTGGGTGTGTGGGAGGGAACTTCCTCCCCACTGAGCACCGGGAGCCAGGGAACTATGGCCCCTGGTGGGACAGATGGAGGGAGACAGAAAATAATCCCAATGTAATTTGTTCAGACTTTGAGAACTGTCCCTAAAGTGCTACCCACAGGACGGGCGGGGGAGGAGGGGGGCCGCCCTCATGGGAGAGGGGCTGGGTCACCCTGTGTGAGCCACGAAGCCACCCTGTGCCTGCTGGTCAAACCATTGGACTGCCCTGCCAGCCAGGTATCCACAGACACCCCCTGCCCCTCCAAGTGTGTCACAGGGCTCTGCACCCCTGCACCTCCCCTATCATTGTGCACATCCCCCCTCCCATCCTCTGCGCACACACCCCCCCCCCGTCCTTGTGCACCCCTCATCCTGGTACACACACACACACACACACACACGTATTCTGTATATTGAAGCTCCAAGGTCCTTCAGCAAACAAACCACACAGCCGTCGTCAGGCAGACTGGCCTACTGGTTCAAGCACTAGGCTGGGACCCGGGAGCTGGGGGTTCAATCCCTGCTCTGCCACAAACTCCCTGGATGAGTCACTTAGCTCTCCTCTGAACGGTGGGGATGGCGCTCCCCCTCTCTCCCCCCATTGGTCTGTCTCCTCGGCTTAGACCGGGTGCCCTAGGGGGTAGGGACCGTCTGACTGTCTCCGTCCAGCTCCAGCACGACGGGGCCCCGATCTCAGCTGGGGCAGCTAGAGGCTGCTCTACCAGAACCAACCCCCCACCGGCAGCCGATGAAGTGCCCAAGCCGCAGTGCTGGGCGAGCCCCTGGCAAGCAACGGCCAAAGCATTCAGCCCGGACCTGGCGCTGGGACGCTACACGAGAGTGGGGCAGCCAGTTTCCCCCGGCGCCGTGCCCCCAGGCAAGGGCGTGGAGCCCCCTAGCAGGGAATCAGCTGAGTTCTTCAATTCCGGGGGAGAGAGGCCTTAGAAAGCAGCTCTCAGGCAGGGCTTTATTAATTGTCACCTACCTCTTCTCAGCACACAGGGGCCAGCTCCCACCTCTCCCGCAGGAGCGGTCCGAGGCCAGCGTGCGGGCAGTCGTCTCCTCCCGCCCCACCCTGACACAGCCGCGTTTCCGGATCGTCATCTTTTATCCATAAATAGAATTCCCATTTCAATCCACGTCTCTTTACAGCAGTGTCCGAACCCAAGCGGTCCCAGCAAAGGGGATCCCGGTGCCCAGAGGCCCGGCCCCGCGCTTCGGTTCCAGAGGTAGTTTCCCGTGGGTTTGTGTAACACTGGTTGGTGGGGGGGGGGACGGGGACAGGGGACTGAATCCGACCGGCGTCCGGGGGCCCCTACACGGAGCTCTCGTCCAGCTTGTCCACCAGCTGCGTGTGTTTCCGCTTCTCCAGGATCTTGCTCAGCTCCTCGGCGAAGGAGGTGGTGTACAGGGGCGAGGGGCTGGGCTCCTCCTGCTGCAGCAGCATGTAGCTGTTGCCGTTCATCTTGCGCAGCACGTTGGGCAGGGCGGCGATGCCGTTGGTGAACTCGGCCGGGAGGGGCGGGGGCGGCGGGGGGGGCGGCGGGGGCGTCTCCCTGGCCGGGGAGGCCGCCGGGGGGGCCTCGCCCGGGACGATCTGCAGGCAGCCGGCCTCCCGGCCCAGCTCTTCCTCCGCGGCCTCCCGGGCCCTGCCCAGGCAGCTGGCCGAGACCGTCTGCAGCTCCACGGAGGGGGCGCGGGGGGCGCCCAGCACGTACCTGCCCTTGCGGCGCTGCAGGCAGGAGACGTGGAGCAGCACGGTGCTCAGCACCAGGCACAGCCCGCCCAGCACCGTGATGACCGCGATGTAGACGAACTTCATGTCGGGGGAAGCCTGGCGGGCGGTGCGGGGAGGCGGGGGGGGCCGTGGGCGCCACCGGCTCCTGGGGAGGCTCTGGCAGCACCGTCAGGGCGTAGGCGGCCAGCGGGGAGCGCAGGCCATTCTCCTCCCCGTAGCAGCCGTACTCCCCGCTGTGCTCCGGCAGGGCGTCCGTCACCAGCAGCCCGTCCGCCCCCAGCCGGAAGTGGCCCTGCCCGGCCGCCAGCCCCACCGTGCCGTTCACCAGCCACGTGGCCTGAGCCAGGTTGGAGCGCTGCTCGCACGGCAGCAGCACGTCGTCGCCCCGCAGCACCGTCCGGTTCTTCTGCACGGGGGGCGCTGGGGGGAGAGGGGCGACGGGGCCCCCCGGGCGAGGGGCGGAGCTCAGCCCCCCCCCCAGTGACTGCCCCCCCCCCCCATGGCATGGCGGCCGTGAGAGTTCCCAATGGCATGGGCCCCCCCCTGACTGCCATGGGGCATGGCTGAGCCCAGAGAGCGCTCCCAGAATGCCTTGGGACTGCCCCCCCCCACCCCAGTGACTGCCATGGTAAGGCAATGGCTGAGCCCAGAGAGCACTCCCAGAATGCCTTGGGACTGCCGCCCCCCTGCCCCAGTGACTGCCATGGTAAGGCAATGGCTGAGCCGAGAGCGCTCCCAGAATGCCTTGGGACTGCCCCCCCCCGCCCCAGTGACTGCCATGGTAAGGCAATGGCTGAGCCGTGAGAGTTCCCAGAATGCCATGGGACTGCAGCCCCCCCCCCCAGCACAGTGACTGGGCAAGGCAGGGGACACCTCCCTCCCGGGGAACAGGGGGTGAAGGTGGGGGCGGTGAGGGGGCCAGCGGGACGCTTCCCCTTCTCTCCTGGGCAGTGCCAGAGCAGCTGGTGCTGCCCACAGCCCCAAGGCGCCAGGGCCCAGATGGCCCCTGTGGCTCCTTGGGGGGGAGGCTGGATGGTCCCAGCATGAGCACACAGGCCCGGGGCGGAGCCTCACCCTGAGCAGAGCCGTTCCTGCAGCCCTCCCTGCCGTGCTGCACGTCCTGGGTCAGCTGGGTCCTGTGAGGAGCAAGACGGGCCGTGTCAGCAGGGGGTTGGTGGCCAAAGGCCCCAAGAGACACGCACACGCATGCACACGCAGCCCCGCCTGCAGACACACACATGCAGCCCCACCCGCCCCGCAGCCCCGCCCGCAGACAGGTACACACACACACACATGAACACAGACTAGCTGGTCCCCAGCAGCCCAGCTCTGATCAGAGCCCAGCTAACGGTGCCATTCTGGGTGCCTTGCTGCCCGGGGGCAGCAAGGGAGCCGGGGTGAGAAGTCGGAGCTTCCTGAGCACGAGGGCCAACTCTGGGAAGGGGCCACCAGTGCCAACGAGGGGCTAAGATGGCACCGCAGAACCTCCGGGCGGTGGAGCTGGCAGGGGGGTGGTTTGCTTCGTGGGCCGGGGCGTAGGGAAATCCCAATGTTTCGGCACGCGCCCCTAGCAAGAGACACCAGGATGGGGGTTCACCCTGACAGGGTGAGCCGTCCTGCCGGGCGGCGTTGGAGGAGGCTGCGGTGCCCCCATCCGCACCTGGCTCTGGGCAGTGTTTGCACATGGCAGCGATGCAGTTCCGAGTCCAGCTGGGAGGGGATCCAGCATCACTCCAGCCCAGGCTGGAGCAGGGACGATGGCTGGGCCGGCAGCCTCTCTGACCTCATGGCCGTGTCTCACCCGGGCAGCAGGAGCTCGGTGGGGCAGGCCGCGCAGGGGCCGGGACCTCCCCACTGGGAGGCCTGGGGCAGCTCAGCGGATCCGTACCTGTCCGCAGCGCCGGCCAGCTCCCGGCATCCCTCGCCGTCCCAGGTGCAGTAGGGGTCCCGGGCCAGGATGCAGTCATAGCAGGAGCCGTACCTGGCGCAGCTGGACAGGGGGAGCTGCAGGACTCCGCTGCCAGCCCCCACGTACACACTTCTCTGCCAGGCAAAGAGCGGAGACCCCGGTGTTACGCGCCGGCAGAAACTCGATCACATTAAGGTGGGAACACGCCGTCCCTCAGGGCATCATAAGACACACACCTGAACCGAGGCCTAAGAGGATCTGCCCAGAAATGAGCCCCAGCCGGGCAGCAGCTCCGCTGGGCACTGTGTAGAGCGCGAGAAGACATCCAGGCCGGGAACAGGCGGCACAGAGAGAGGCAGAGACAAGCCGTGAGGAAGCCCAGTGGCTGCCTTTGGGCACAGCGGGACCCTGGGAAAGCTCCGGAGAGTTTTGGGGTCTGTTGGCTACAGAGGCTGGAAGCTGGGAAATGCCCCTTCATTCCCGGTTCCGCCCGCGTGCGGCACGGCAGGACGCGTGACCCTCCTTGTAAATAAACAGGAGTGCAGCAAACGATGCTGCCAGCTGGGATGTCCCCAGAGCCTGCGCTTTGACCAGCCGCTCGGGCTGAGAAGGGGCCACGCCGGCTTGGCGCACCCCGGTGCCCCATCAGGCAGGCTGGGTGGCAGCATGGCTGGGAGGGGGCCGAGGTGAGCTGGGGTCTCAGGACAAAGCCAGCAACACAATCGCCCCTGGTCGGCGACCTCCAGGGGCCGAAGGGAGACAGGGCGCTGCTCTCGCCCCCTGGGTCCCGCCCCAGGCCACGCCATGGCAAGGGCTGGGTGGGAGCTCAGACAAAAGGACAGACTCCCACGGCCCCGTTAAAGCCACCTGGGAAACCCGGAGCAGAGCACGGAGCCAGCACCTGGCCTGAGCGAAACCACAGAGCCCCCACCCCTCCCTATCCCCCCATGCAGCCGCCCAGCCTCGCTACACAAACTACCCTGCTGGAGGCTGGGGGCCCGGACTCCTGGGTTCTCCTCCCAGCTGTGTCACTGACCTATGTGTGTCCTAGGGACGAGGCTCACTCCCCCATCGACTCACTCCCGTGGTGTTGGGGAAGCGATGGGGGCCCGGGGTTGGGTGGCACCAAAGGGATCAGTACGTTCCTGGATGCCTGGTTCCTAGGATCCGGGCTGCACCCCGTGACTGAGGAGATGGGATGGGGGTGCTACGAAGAGGGGGGTTTCCCTTCCCCCATGCAGAGACCCCAGTAACAATGGCCCTGGGGGAACAGCCCCAGGCCCTGCCCCACTGGGCTGGTGGCATGGCCTGGCTCTGCCGTAGCTGCCTCCTCTGGCTTGCTGAGGCCTGTGCTTGGAAAGCAAGCAGGGGCACGGGGGGCCTCCCCAGGGCCTCGGATAAGGACAGCAGGGATGGAGAGAGGGGGGCTGAGACCCCGAGGGCAGGGAGGGGCCCCAGGGACGCCCCTCTCATTCAGCAGAGCCCCCTGCCCCATGTGGGTCAGCCAGTGCCTCGCCGAGGAGGGGTTAACGTTGGGGTGTGGGGAGGTGCCCTGCCCCACAGCACAGCTCTGAGCCCCTTCCCTGGGGCGGGCAGGCTGGCAGGCAGCCGAGGACACCCAGGCTCCGATAAGCTCTGGCATTCCAAGCTGGGGTCAGCCAGTGCCAGGCAGAAGTGAGGCCGCACCTCCGCCGTGGGCAGGGGGCCAGGCTGGCTAATCAGAGCCACCCTGCGGTGCTGGCAGCTCTCTGGGCGAGACGGGCCCCAGGGAGCGCCGGGCACCCACCGCCAGGCCTCTCTGCTCGGCCAGCTGCCACAGAAGGAGTTTAAAGCGTGGCTGGGTGGGAGACAGGCTCCCGGAAAGGCTGCGGGGGCCCCATTCACTGCTGCCCTGCAGCACCAGGGCCTGGCAGCCTAGTTAACCATGCAAAGGCAGCTGTTTCTTCTGCCCCCGCCTGGGCAACTGTACAGAGGGGCAGCGGCTGGGTGGGAGTCAGTGGCAGACTCTGGAATAGAACTCAGGTGTCCTGGCGCCCGGCCCCGTGCTCCAGCCGGCAGAACTCCTTGCCCGTCTTGCCCGCCCTGATCCCCCCTCAGGGGGTGCCCCGATGCGCCACTAGATTTCAAGGGGCCTGGCTGCGGGATGCGGCAGCTGCGGATTTCAACACGCCCATTTTGTTCTGCCCTCTACAAGCGAGAGGGCCCCTGGAGGGGCAGCGTGTCCCTCGGGGAGCCAGTTCTACTCTGTGCCCCCCGGCGGAGTCGGGGTGCAACCCGGAGCAGCATCTCACCTGGGTTTTGGAGATCACCAGGCTTTCCACGGGCTGGGGGGTCCCGAAGACCTGCAGCTCCTCCACGATATGTATGGCAGAGCCGATCACCACCCCCTTGTGCAGCCAGCCGTCACCTGGGCAAAGGCAGAGGGGCACGGTCAGGGTGGCACCGGGCGGGAGAGTGCTGTGCCCATAGGCCAGGGCTGGGGCCGGGCAACCGCACTGCTAATTTCCCCCCTGGCCTGGGCCCCTGGCTGCTGCCCCGATGGGGGGATGGGGCTCTCTGCTACCCCCCTTCTTCTGTGGGTCCCGTCTCGGGGGGCAGCTTTCGCCCGGGCACCCCAGCCACACTGGGGTCCCCCGTCCCGCTCAGCCTGGGCGAGTGACACAGGGCCCCCAGATGACACTGCCCCCCAGCCCCTGGCCGACGCACCCGTCCCCATGAAGAGCACGTCGTACTGCTGGCCGTCCAGAGCCGGCACCCTGTCCACCGCCAGGGCCGTGTAGAGCACATTCTTCTTCACCAGCAGGGGCTCCCCCCGCGTCGGCTTCACCTCCTCGAACATGAGTGGGTGTAGCTTGACGAAGTCCAGCACGCCGTTGGGCAGGTCCTGGGAGGAGCGGTAGCCGTCCTCGCGGGAGCGGTCGGTGATGCACTGCAGCGGGGAGGAGAGGTGGCTAGGGACGGGTAGCAGGCTGCCCGCTGGGGCAAGGCGGCCACCTCTGGGATCACCTGGGCATGTGTCACCTAACCAGTGCCCTGCCATTGCACGGGTCTCGGTGGCACCTTGGGCGCTGCTGTTCTTTTCAGTCTGACTGTACCTGGCCTCAGCACGGGGTGAAACACCTGGTCTGTGCTTTGCGGGAGGTCAAACTAAATGATCAAATGATTCCTTCCGGCCTCAGACTCCAGGGCTTTCCTCGACACCAGGGCCAGAAGCCTGACCCCCTGCAGAGCAATGCCAGAGACCTGCCCCCAAATCCCTCCTCCAGCAGCGTTCAGACAAGCGCTCAGGCTGGATTTCCAAACCGCCAGTGACGGGGAATCCACCAGGCGCTTGGTACATTGCTCCAGTGGTTAGTTACTCTCACTGTTCACATTTACCCCTCGTTTCCGGTCGGAACTTCTCTAGCTTCAGATGGTGTTAGAGCTTCCTCTGCCAGCCTGCGGAGCCCGTTAACCAATATTTATTCCCCACCTAGGTGCTGACAGATTGTGATCAGTCCCCCCTTCACCTGCTCTGTGTTCAGCGAGCCAGACGGAGCTCCTTGAGTCTGTCACTACAAGGCAGGTTTTAACCCTTTAACCATTCTACGGCTCTTCTCTGAGCCCCTCCAGTTGATCAACAGCCTTCCTGAACTGCGGGCACCAGACCGGACACAGGACCCCAGCAGCGGTCGCGCCAGGGCCAAATACAGAACTAAAATAACATCTCTTCTCCTCGAGATTCCCATTTATACAGCCCCAGATTGCATTCGCCCTTTTGGCCCCAGCATCGCCCTGGGAGCTCATGTTCAGCTGATTCCCGCCCTCCCCTCCCAGCCTCCCAAAACTCAGGAAGTGGCTGGGGCGCGAGCACCAACCCCTGACCCCCACGCCCCGAGGAGGGAGCCATGCATGCTGGAACCGGTGGGCCTGGCCGTGAGTCAGCAGCAGAGCTGGGACCAGCATCCAGGCCTTCGTGGCCCCTCACCAATCCCTCCTGGGGATGAAGCCCGAGGGCATGTTTGCAGCCCAACAGGGGGCACTGGCGTCTCCGGGTCACTTACAGAGCCCGGCCGTGGGTCCGGCACCTCCCCGTCATAGCGGGTCCATTTGCGGGTGGTGTCCTGGTATTGCATGTAGGGGCCCTCGAAAGCCCTCTGCAGCTCAGACATGTTGTACTGACAGACGGCGGATGCCTCCATGCTTCTCCTAGGAGAGACGGCGACAGGATCAGCGATCCGTGGCCGCCCCACGGGCTACACACACCTCCCTGCTCCGTCCGCCAGACGCCCCAGCCACTGACCACGCCGCCCGCTCCCTCACTGAGAGCTGGGGCCTACAGAAACAGCTCCAAACACCCAGGCTTTCCTGGCGGGGGACAAGGAGCTGCTGCCCTCTGAAATGACAACAGGGCCATCCCACGGACCAGCAGCTGGAGACCTCAAAGTGGATCTGTTGCATAATGTCCATTTTACAGATGGGAACCCAAGGCCCAGAGGGGGAAGGGACTTGCCCAGAGTCACACGGCAAGGCAGTGGCAGAGAACCCCAGTTTCCTGAGGCCCAGAACTGTCTCTCCAGGGAAAGGGAATGGAAAACGGAGAGACCCCCATTGCTCCATCAGGCACTGGCTGGCAAACGCCAGAGCAGCAGCTGGCATTGGCAGAGCTGTGGCAGGATGGGACGTGGGCGCAGCAGGCCCTAGGAGGGACGGGGGAATGGACAGTGCGTCCACAAACGACACAGAGCCGCTGTCCAACCCCAGCATAGGAAGCAGATGGGCGACCTCACCAATCCGGGCAGCACACAACCCTCAATCCCGCCCCGCAGCCCCTGTGCTGTTCTGGTCCTGGTCTCCCAGGTGGGCTGCTCCGCAAAAGGAACCAGCAAAAGCCCAAGTGGTTCCGGTTCTGCTCCCAGCAGCTGCCTCGCTCCGGCAGTGAGGTCGCGGCACCCCCGCGCTGTTTGCCACCCCCTGCACGCAGCAGCCTGGGCAGATCAGCCCCAAAGGCACCAGAGATGAGCTCAGAGGGAACGGAGATGCTAACGGGTACACGGCAATAGCAGGGTCACCCGCTGTACATCTCCTGCCTCAGCGGGGGTGGGGGAGTGTCAGGCAGAGCCCCTGCAGGTCGGGGAAGAGCCCCCAAGTTTGGGAGCCTTAGGGCTGGCGATTTCCCAAGCGCAGGGCTCTCCAGGGAGATCCCAAGGGTGCCCCAGACCCGGCCTGCTGGAGGTGCTGAGCGCAGCAGGCCCGCAGCCCGCAGGGCATGCGCTCACCAGAGAGGAACGCTGCCCAGCCAGGCCTGGCAAGCTGGCACGTCAGCAGGAAGGGAGGTGGAGAGAAGCAGCCATTCAAGGACTCCAGGAGTCAGGACAAGCCCCAGCCACAATGTGTGCCTCAGTTTCCCCACTCTGTTAAACCTACCCTTGGAGATCCTCTGTTTAGCGGCCGTCGCATAGAGCCGAGAAAGCACAGCCCCTGGTGAGCGGTCAGCCCTCTGCACGTGGCTTGGGGGACCCCTGCTGGCTCTCACGGCCCCGCTGGCTCCTACAGCCCCTGTGCCTCCAGAGGAAATTCCTTCCCAACCCCAGACAGCCTGGCATCCACCCCCACAGTAGGGTGGAGTGAGAGGGGGCTTCTTCCTCACTGCTGGCCTGGCCCCATTCCCACCTCCCAGTTGCTGACCTCACCAAGGTCTGAGCCCCGGCCCAGCGCCCTCTGCCCAGCTTACGGTACAGCTGGGAGGGTGACCGCCCAGCTCCAGGCTTGGTAGCGGGGTGGCCCTGTGATCCCCAGAGATGCTTGCCCTGGGCCGCTGCCCTTCCTCACCCAGTGTGCTCAGTGCGAGAAGCTGGCACTGGGGATGGGGACCTGGGGGAGACCCAGCTCAGGAGGTGGTTTCCAGGTCCCTGGTCAGCAGGAGTGGGATGGATTACTGCTTGCTGCTGCCTCGAGATGCTTCCTCCCCTCCCCGCAAAGGACCCGCTCATCTTCACCCTGCTGCCTCACTGGAGAGTGGAGCAGGGCCCCTACTAGGCTAGGTGCCTCAGCTGCTCTCCTTTTAATTTAACCCTCTCCCACCTGCATTCTTCCTGGCTACCTGCACACTCCCCCGGCAGACCCACTCCTGGGGGGTTAATGAGCCGCCTGAGTGATCATTAATGAATTTCTCTATAGAAACCATCCCCTCCCCACCTCCCAGTTGCTCTCCCTGTCCCATTGTGCTATAAATAGCCACGGTCAGTGTCAGGCTTCTAGAGGCAGGCCGGGCTAATTAGCCAGGCAGCGATTCATTAGAATTCATGTCGACGTCAATAACCAACAGGAAATGCCCTTTTCCATTAAAACGGCCGTTGGAGCACGGATATGCCCAAGTGAAATCCACCCCGGCTCCTCAATAGCTCCTGTTCCTGCTAAACCTCCTGTTTAACTGGGCTGCTTTTCCACCAGATAAGGCGGAGATAGGAAGCCTGCCAGAATGGTTCAACTCCCTCCCCTGCCACCCGCGATGTAACGCACGCAGCAGCGATTAACCGCGCTGCAGGAAGCCTTCGGGCTCCGGATGGGTTCTCTGTGCCCTGTCGGTCCCCTGCTCTCCAGGTTTGCCCTCTGCGCACAAATGAAGCTTTGCAAACTGGGGCCCAAACGTTTGCAACGCCCGACGTGTTTGGAACGGACGGTGAGAGCAGAAAGCCCCCTGTGGAGCAGGAGTGCCGAGCTTGGGAAATAATCCAGCAAATTCGGGAAAACACCACCTCTCTCTCTGCCGTCCCAGTGTCCTCCTGAGCTCCGGGCACTGGGTTTTCCCAGGCCTGCGCTTTCCCAGTGACACGTTTATACACTGCGTCTTGTTCGCACCGTTCGCAGGAGCAGTGCCATCATCAGCCCCGAGCCGCCCCATGCGACGGTGCGTAGGCGCGTCGCTCTGCGACGAAGAGCTTGTTCAAAGCCACACGACGGTCCCTACATGTACGTTCCTGTGCTGCGGAGTGTGGCCAGATCTGCGCACACTGAGGTGGATCATCACTTTGGGGTGGGGCGGAGGGGGACACGCTTTGCGGGATTTGGCTATGTACAGCTCAGGTAGTCTGGTTCATTGGGTGAAATTCCTGTATCAGTGAATGCCTCAATGGGGCATGAGTAGGGTGACCACATGTCCCGTTTTTATAGGGACAGTCCCTCTTTTTGGGACTTTTTCTTATACAGGCGCCTATTACCCCCATCCCCATTCTCGTTTTTTCACAGTTGCTATCTGGTCACCCTAGGTGTGAGTCAGCCATGGGGCCCCCTGTCTCTATAGCCACCCCTTGGTCTGGAAGAAGTGGCAGACTGAACAAAGGAAGTTGTTAACCTTACCGTCTGCGCTCTGGCAGGACAAGGATTATGCTGAAGAGCCTGCCTGAGCTGGGGGAACCAGAGCTACCCATGTGGTTGGCCAGGAGGAGTATTTGGAGCAGTAGAATTTCCCCACGAAGGGGAAACACAGGCCCAGAGTCAATACGAATCTTTAAACCCACACAGAGTGATGGAGAGGGGAAGGGCGGTCCAGGACCCTTGCAAGGATGCTGCAAATCCTTGCAGAGTGGGGAGGAAACTGAGGCAGGGGATGGCGTACGGGTGGTTTAGTAGGCTGTCTGGAGCTGCGTATATCCCGGGCTGTCTATAGGAAAGAGGGACTGGTTTGGGAACAGTTTGCACAGCCTGTGCACAGCTCTCAGAAGCGGGCGCTAGGAGGAACATCTGCCCACCCAGAGTGCGCCGAGAGAGCCAGAGGCAGGGCCTGGCTTGGCACAGATCAGGGAGCTGAAAGCACATGGACCCGGCCCGGCAGCCTGCCTGGCCAAGCAGGGTTGTGATGGGGGAACGGGTCCGATGCTGGCAGTGGACAAAGCACAGAGCCCACTGCTGAGGGCCAGTTTCTGGAAGAACCCGCAGTGGAGGAGGACCTGTTTGGGGACTGCAAGGGGGAGGAGCTGTGACGTGTCCATGAGGGGAATGGCCAGAACCAGCTATTCCGACCAGGGCAGGTGCCCGTGCGGCCAGGGGCAGGGGATCAGCCATTCCATCAGCTCTCGGGGTCGCCCGCAAGGGACCAGGCGACCCTGCTGAACTGCTCCAGCCCGCGTCCCCCCAGTGGCTCCATCACCCTGCTCTGGGGACGAGCCTGTGGGCCCCGCGGGGAAAGCAGAACCCTACTCACCAGTGAGCCGACAAGGTGAACATGGCGTAGAAGACGGTGCTGGGCCAGCTGCCCCCGTCCACGGTGTGCACGGCCTTGAGCACTTCGTAGTAGGGGATATAGCAGACCAGCCGGGCCTTCATGAAGGACGTCCATTTCCGCTGCAGGATCTTCTTCCCACCCAGGTCGCTCTGCAAAGGGAAGGGAAGGGACGCGCTGGGAGAGGGCGAGGCTGTCACCTGGGCTGACCCCATCACAGCCTCTGAGCCCCGCGGGACTGGGGTGCTTCCAACCCCCCCCCCCCCCCCCCCACAGCTGCTCCGGCAGCGTCTCTTTACCTTGCACACCCGGGCCACTCTGGCCACCCTGGCCACCTGGCTCTTGTCGAAGGAGGCACTCTCCTCAGCCGCCCGCTCCATGAAGAAGTAGTAGATCTTGTCATCGTCCCCCACTGGGCTGCGCACGCTCTCCTGGACCAGCACAGAGGCCACGAACTCTGCATCTGCAAACAGCACCGGCGTCAGACGCGCCCCACCACCGGGTGGGTGGTGGATCTGATTGGTACCTAGCTCTGCCACTGCCTGAGTCCCTTTCCCTCTGAATGTCTCAGCTTCCTTCACTCTAAATAAGGACGGATGATACCGCCCACCCCTCTGCCTGCAGGGTTATTGCAGGGCCTGACAAGAGCTTTGAGATCCGCACTTTAGTCAACTCTGTGTCTCATCCCCTCCCCACCCAGCTCTGAGCACTCCAGCTGGCCTCTGTGCCCATGCTGGTCTGCTTAGCGAACCCCCCAACTCTTAGTGATCTCGGGCACCCCGCCCGCCCAGACATGGCAAGAGGTTCAGGGTGCCCTGTCACCGAAGTGACCCAGATTCCCAGGGGCAGGTTCTTGCCAGGGTTGGCAGCGGGACGGGCTGCCACTCAACATGGGGCAAGGGTGTGAAAAGGTTTGGAAAGCGATCACTGCCAGGACACTCCCCAAAAAGAGGCGGAGGGCAAAGACTGAAGGGACAAACACGAGAAGGAGGAAGGAACTCAGCCGTATGGACAAAGCAGAGCCGCCCACTCCGTGGCCAGTGCCGTGCCCTCCCGGGGAGTGAGCACAGAGGCAGCTTGCTAGGATCAGTGCCAAGGCTCCGAGGACGGCCCTAGGCTCCAGTGACCGTGGCACATCATGCCACACATGCCCCCTCTGCCCTGCTCTCCGCTAACGGAGAAGGCCCCGGCTTCTGCCCTCTCCATGGCTCAGGCCCGTTTGGCGCTCTGGGGAAGGCGGGCATAAGGAGCAGAAACCTCCCCACGTTTGTGTGAATATCTGCAGCCCCACCGAGCCACGGGCATCTTTGCCCCACTGCCAGGCCCGCCCGTCTGCCGGACGATCTGGAGGTGGGCGAGGCGTTGCGGAAGCACACAGGAACGACCCGCCCTCGTGAGTCCGGCTGACGCCCTCGGCCCAGCTTGGGCGCGTCGGAGGGCAGTGTAACCCCCCCCCCCGAGCGCACCACATTGTGCCACATGCCAGATGGGCAGCGAGGAGGTGCCAGGCTGCGGATCAAACGCACAGCCGAGATTCGGACCGCAGGACGCCCTTCAGACCCCGGGTGACGCGGGGCTGACTCAGACGAGTCTATTCTGCCCGTTTAAATGTCCCCTGGGCGTTACTCTGCCCGAGGACGGCAGGGTTTGGCCCGGAGGGGGCAGCGGTGCCTTTGGTGGTGAAGGGGGGCTCAGAGCCGGCAACGGAGGGGGAGGCTCAGGTCTCTCCTGGGGGCTGGATCTTACCGTTTAGCCAGTGCACGGGGGACTCTTCCGTCTTCAGGGGCCGCTGGTGCAGGTTGCGCCTGATGTCCGGCAGGCTGCGGAACTCGTACCGCGTGGCCGTGTACAAGCCGCCATCTGAGATCGGGGGTGGGGAAGGATGGGTCAGGGTCCCCCAGCTGTTTAGCCACGTGCGGCCCAACCTGCATCCCAATCACTTAGGCCCGGGGCTGGGGGAGGAGGGTGGAGGAAGGGGAAGCCGCATGGCCAGGCTGGACCCACTTCGGGGACTCCTACGTAACGTGGAACAGGTGGTGCCCGTGGACACTGCTCCCCAGCCCTGATCGCATCGGCACCTGGCTGGACCCTCGCAGAGACCCTGTCGGGGGGGAGGGAGGGGAGGAGAATTTCTCCTTCATTAGGGCTCGGGCAGGGTTCGGGCCAGAAGGGAACTGGCATGCCATGCGGCAGGTGGGCGTTGTGGGGAGGTGACTGGCTGTGAAAGGAGAGGTGGGGAGAGGCTGGCTCCAGCCCCTGAGGGGTGCACAGAGATTTGGGTGGGGGCAGGGGGAAAACCTTCCTGGCTGCTCCAACTCACTCAGCGACAGCCCAGAGCCAGATCAAGCTGCGACCTCCCCGGGGAACCCCAGGTGAGCGGCCCCACCTACCTACGATGAGGCCGGTGTAACCGCGGGCGGGGTCATACGGGCACTTCTCCTTGCCCTCCTCCAGGTGGGACGGCAGCGCGAACCTGTCGGCATCCTGCAGAGAGAGGGGAGCAAGGGGGTGAGAAGCCGCTGGGCTGGGCAGGACGGCATGAAAGCAGCACCCACTGCTCCAGGGGCCTTCATGCAGCCACGGATCAGGGACAGGTGAGGTTCCCCCACGTTCCCCAGGCCATGAGCTGGCAGGACCCCCCTCCAGGGGCAGACAACCACACCAACGTCCTGTGATGTGGGCATTTCCCGACCAGGCAAGTGGGCAGAGACTGCCCCCCACCAATGCAAATCACAGAGCCCCCAAATGGCTACGACTGTCAGCCACTGCCCATCTCAGGCCGGGCGGAAGCTGGCAGCCTGGGGATGCGGAGCTCCAGCGCTCATTGGCCTCCCCCCAGGCCATGCACGAGAGCCACCATCCCCACCCACCCTGCCAGTCTCAGGGCATGCCATGCTGTCACTGCTGGAAGCCAGCCCACCGGGATGCGCCATCGTTACCGGCGGGCTGGGGAACACGGTGGAATCAGGCGGCTACCAGGGCTTGGCTCTTCCAACCAGACGCCTAGACTAGCTAACGGAGCAAGTGGCTACCAGACAGACATGGTCAGAAGCAACTGAAAACAGGGTCTTATAATGGAAGTGTCAGGCAACCTTCCACCAGCCCTGACTATTTTTATAAATTTGATACCCCTATCTATGCCCATGTCCACAATGTCTGACATCAGCGAAGGGACCTTCAGATGAAAGCCCACACACTGGTTTAAAATGTGCCCTCTCCTGTTTATCAATGACTGGAGGTGAAGAACAGAAAGCCCAGAATGGACTCTTTCACTCCCTGCGCTGGGTGGGGCAGAGTGAGGTGGAGGCCAAGATCCAGCCATGTTCCTTGCGAGCCACATTTAATTTGTGACTGTCACGCGGGAGGGCCTGGGCAGGGGGGTTCGGGTTGCAGACGCTGTGAGGGGAACGCTCAAATAAAGACACTGATGTCCCTGGATTTCGTTTTTCCCCTTTACGTTTCCTGAAAACGGTTCCGCCCATCTTCACGTTTCTAAAACAGCCACAAGCCGGGGCCTTGAACCAATCCAACCAGCTCCCCCGAGAAGAAAAACTCAACCCTAGGGGTTTTTCTCCTTCTCATAAAGTGACAGGCCCATAACCCTTCCAAAGAAGGGCTGGCTGGAGCGCCCCCTGCTGGCTAACAATGCCCCGCTCCCTGCGTTGAACGGGTCCATGGATCAACCACGAGGGCTGGCGGCAACTTGTTGCCAGGAGGTTATTGCCGGCCAGGAGGGAGAGCACCGAAGAGCGACAGAAGCCTGTGACGGGGTCGGAAGCACGGAGCGATGAACAAAGACGGAGGGAGCATCCAACACCCAGCCAGGGTTTCCCTCCTCGTGAATTCCCTCCCCACCAGCCGTGCTTGCACTCACGATGGCCGCGCACAGCGGGTGGAAGGCATAGGTCCCGCAGGCGTACAGATGAGTGTCGTTCAGCCTCTGCACGAGCCGGATGTGGTTGAAGCACTCGGTCTGCAGAGAGGAAGAAAGAGCATCATGCGGGGGCCCGACTCCCGCGCCTGCAGGCCGCCCGCGCCCCCCACACGTGCAGAGACCCCGCCGCAAATACCTTGTTGTTCTTGCCCTTCTGGAGGCAGTCGGTTTGCTTCTCCGGAGACGCCTCCCACCGGATCTGTGAAGGGGAAAGGGGTCGTTACTCACCGGCGCCTCCTGGCTGTGGAGACGATAGCTGCCCCGCAACGCCCTGGAGTGATGTCACCGAAGCCCCTAAAGAGCCGACGAGGCTGGTAAACGCTAATGGCAGGTTGACCAGTGCCAGGAACAGCCCCATACCTGGGTCCATTTATTTTCCGCGCTTCTTGACTAAAATAAAGACCTGGTTGCTATTAATCCCAGGCCGGGGGCCCGCTGAGCAGAAGAAGCACCCAACTCACCTGGAAAATGCCTTTCACAAACTGGGGTTTTAGTGCTTTGAGTTCCCTTGCCTTCCCCGCGCAAAGCAAAGGGGCAGACTGTCCGGACTGACGAGTTCACTTTGTCCCACTTATGGAATCATAGGACTGGAAGGGACCTTGAGAGGTCATCTAGCCCAGGCCCCTGCACTGAGGCAGGACTAAGTATTATCTAGGCCATCCCTGGCAGGTGTTTGTCCAACCTGCTCTTAAAAATCCCCAGTGACGGAGATTCCACAACCTCCCTCGGCAATTTATTCCGGTGCTTAACCACCCTGACAGTTAGGAAGTTTTTCCTAAGGTTCAACCTAACCCTCCCTTGCTGCAGTTTAAGCCCATTGCTTCTTGTCCTAGCCTCAGCGGTTAAGAAGAACAATTTTTCTCTCTCCTCCTTGTAACAACCTTTTATGTACTTGAAAACTGTGATCATGTCCCCTCTCAGTCGTCTATTCTCCAGCCTAAACAAACCCAGTTTTTTCAATCTTCCCTCACAGGTCATGTTTTTTAGACCTTTAATCATTTTTGTTGCTCTTCTCTGGACTTTCTCCAATTTGTCCACATCTTTCCTGCCATGTGGCGCCCAGTGGAGGCCTAATCAGCGCAGAACAGAGCAGAAGAATTACTTCTCGTGTCTTGCTTACAACGCTCCTGCTAATACAGCCCAGCGTGATGTTTGCCTTTGCAACAGCGTTACACTGCTGACTCATATTTAGCTTGTGATCCACTATGACCCCCAGATCCCTTTCCGCAGCACTCCTTCCTAGGCAGTCATTTCCCATTTTGTATGTGTGCAACTGATTGTTCCTTCCTATGTGGAGTACTTTGCATTTGTCCTGATTGAATTTCATCCTATTTACTTCAGACCATTTCTCCAGTTTGTCCAGATCATTTTGAATTTTAATCCTGTCTCCAAAGCACTTGCAACCCCTCCCAGCTTGGTATTGTCCGCACACTGAATGAGTGGACACTCTATGCCGTCATCTAAATCAAGGATGAAGAGATTGAACAGAACCGGAAGGAGCTTAAATCACCCAGCTTATGTGCTGGAGAATCCACCCCAGGAGGGGGCACTGCCCTCCAATGTGAAATTCTAGTGCCCAAACCCACCACATCCTGGGCCAGAGAAGGCATGGGCCAGAGAGGGTGCCACCATAATACACATAATAAATACATAATATGCATAATAAAACTATCGTGCAACTGGGACACTGCTGCCGTCGTGACAAAAGCCCAGGGGCCCCTCGTGGGAAAGGCTCGGAGAGACAGAGACGGGAAGCAAAAATGCCCCTCCACCGCCCAGCGACACCGTCCTGCCAATGCAGCGGGGCTGGCAGAGAGACGGCCTGGCTGTCAGTAAGACCTCCAGATGGACTGGCACCTCGCGGGGGAGGGCAGAGACAAGATTCATCACCCGCCTATTTGTCAGGTTGCGAAATCGCATCCGCTGCTCCTGTCAGCGGGGGTGGGGGATGTCTTAAAATTGGGACACAAAAGGCTGTGTGTGTGTCCAGGACAACAGGATCTGGAAGGACTTAATGGCTGGAAAGCCTTAACTCTATCCTGCAATGGTCTGACCTCCCAACCACCTGTGGGCACGTATCCTTAGCTGTCGGCTACCACCAGTCCTGCAGGCCCATTCTGACAGCGTCCCTCACCGGGGCCTCTGGGTTGGCACTGCAGGAGACCCTGGGCAGAGAGTGTTGGGGTAGGATGTGCCAGCCCAGTTCATCCCATCGAGCCAGCACCCTGGGGGGCGGTCCCATTGTCCCAGGCACCCAGCAGCAGCTGCAGAGTTGGAGGGGAGGGAGACAGGGGCGCTCGGCAGGTGTCAAGTTTCTTCAGGAAGGGGTGGCCAGGGGATCCGGAGAGGGGGGTGTCCCAGCATGGGCGGGGGGAGGGAAGGACTTTAGCGGCAGCATTCGGGATGGGCTGTTGGGGGAGGGGAGCAGCAGGAGCACCCGCGAGTGGGTTACAGAGGTCACGGCTTGGGGGAGGGTGCTGGGGCTTGGGGCTGCAAGGAAGGAGACACTGGACCGAGGGGCGTGAGCCAGACAGGCGGAGAAGGATCCAGGATGGGGCGAGGCGTCCAGCTTTGAGGAGACATTGAACTGGCCGCAGGGGAGCTGGCAGCTCCACTAACCGGGCTGCCTGCCCCACTGCCTTCAGGCTATGCCTCTCCCCCCGCATCATCCCAGGCCTGCTCCCCCCGGAGCTCCCAGGAGCCGGGCTGGGCAGAAAGGTGTTGGCCTACAGGATTCAGAGCTGGGAAAGCCCGGGGTGGGGGTGCTGCCTATGCCATGAGTTTGGGGAGGAGGAGTGGACAGATTCGCAAGTGAGCGCTTGCCTTTGGCACCTGCTGGGTGGCTCTGGCAATTCATGGAGGACAGTCGCAAGGCTCCCAGAGAGACGTTGGCATGCCCCCGGCCGGCCACAGACGAGCAAAAGCTGCCACAGCAGCTGGGCAGCTAGCCCGAGCTCGGACCAAACCACCCCTCCACCAGAGGACAGCTCACCCTCGCCCGCCCGTCTGCCGGCGTCCCCCAGCACCATCTCTGGAGTCTCCGCCGGCTGGCCCTGCTGCACCCCGTTCCCAGCCAGAGAGCAGGCGAGCCGCTCGAACACGCAGAGCTAGCGGGTGGCTCGCCGTCTCTCGCCGCGCCGCTCTGGGTCATTTCCACAGCAGATGGAAAAGGAAACGAAGACAAAGCCACAGCAGGCAGCTGCAGGGCAGGGGTAAACCCACAGGCCTACAAAGGGGACCCGCTGCTGACGGCTCCTTCAGTTGCGGCACGGCCCAGCAGCCGGGCGGCCAGATGCCCTGCGAGGCCTGGCGTGGAGGCTGCATGGACTTCAGTGGACCGTGTTGCAATGGCAGCCCAGGAGCATGGCATGTGGGGGGCCAGTGGGTCCGGGGGTTAAAGGTCACTTGGGGACACATCTGGGGAGGAGCTGGGCGCCAGATGTGTTTGACCACGTGGGGTTTGGGGGTAAGGAGCTCTGCGAGATGGGCACGGATGCTGCCTGATGCCCGTCGCCGTCCTGGCTGGACGCACTGCCCGCGGTTTTAGATGTAAGCAAAGGGCTCTTCTGCGGCACAGGGAACCAGTGCTCCACAATCCCCGCCCGCCTCAGCCGTAAGAAGCTGCCAAGGGAGACTGAACAGCGGGCAGTGGGGCTAGCGGAGAGCCTGGCCAAAGCAGTGCGGCTTGCAGCGCTTCCTCCAAGTGGCCGCGCTTGGGCTGGGGACCAGCAGAGTCCACGAGGGAGGGCTGACTGCTGAGGACACGCTGCCCCCGGCTCCCTCCAGCCCCCTCCTGCACCCCAATCCCCCGCCACGCTCTGCCTGGGGCAAACAGCCTGGACTTTGGCCTGCTCCAGATTCCTAGGCTCCCTGCTGGGTGAGGGTGAACAGCCTGTGCTCTACAGCAGGTCTGGCTAGGTTACCGGGGGGCCCCGTCTGGCCTTAACGCCTGTGACCCCAGACCAGGTGCTTTATAGAACCATGGGTTGGGTTGGGTTGGGTTTCAGCTGCTGGGTGCCAGGGCCCAGGGAGGAATTTGCAGGAAGGGTGTTCTCCCCAGCCCACCTTGCTCAGCGGACAACAGCCGGCATTGCTGGGGGGCTTGGCATGTACCCCAAAAGAAGAAGGTAAAGCAGCTGAGCTTTTGAGGGAGAAGCACTTGAGGGCATCAGCTGGGAGGACAGATGGACCAACCCCAATATGCAGGAGTGGTGGCAAGTCACTGAAATGGACCCGTATGCCCGCGGGGTGATGGCCCGGCCCCAGGAGGGGACGGAGACCCCGGGGAAGGACAGGAGCAGCAATCTGCACCCTGGTCAGGCAGAGGGGGTTGCTGGGAGCAAACTCACTTGGTACCAAGAACTAGCTCAGCTAAGTCAGGCAACGGAGAGATGATGGAGCCTGGTCATTGTTACTAATGGCTGGAATCATGGTAGCACCAGCCGAGATCAGGGCCCCCTGGTGCTAGGCGCTGTGCATAATGAGAGAAGGTCCCTGCCCTGAAGAGCTCACCATAGACGCAGCCAGGCAAACAAGGGAAAGATTACTAGCCCTGTTTTGCAGATGGGAAACTGAGGCACAGAAGTGACTTGCCCAAGGTCACGTGGGGATCCTGAGGCAAAGCTGGGAAAAGAACCTTGATCTCCTGGGTCCCAGTCCTGTGTGTTAGCCACATGCCCATCCTCCCTCTCTCATGGACTTGAGAGTCAATTTTGCCTGCTCTGCCAAGGAACAGCCTCCTTCGGCCTCCTGGTCCTGTGGGCGGGAGTGGAGCTGCTTGCACTGTGGTTGCTGCACCTGTAAAAGGCGTCTCCTTTGGGGCTGTCAGCCCAGAGCCGTCCACTAGCATGCAAAGCGCTTGTTCCTGCCCCAGAGAGAGAGCAGGTGCGGTGAACAATGGTCGTCACCCCAATCAACTGGACAGCAACACAGGGGGCTTTGGGAACGGCTAGGGGAACCCGACCCATTTCTGCCCTTTAAGTCCAGGCTTCAGAAACAGCCAGCACATGCCCCATTCCCTGCACCGCCAGGTTGGGAATTCTCTGATGAACAGGTGTCCCCCCCCCACCCCCCCCCAAAAGCTAATTTATCGAAACCCAAACTATTCACAAAACTCAGTCAGGATCAACAGAACACCAGACTTGGAAACCTTTCGTCAAAGAGACCAGAGACAGGCGAACCGGAACGTTTCGGTTTGTTGTCAAAATTACTTTTAGTTAAGAAATGTCTGTAAATTTACACTAAAAAAAAAAGTGGGGTAGGGGGAGGCTAAAAAAGTCAAAACGTTACGTTTGGACTGACCTGAACAGTGGATCTTTGGTTCTTGAACATTTTGGACATTTTGACTTTTTTCCACAATTTGGGACAGGAACATTTTTCAGACTGTTGAAAATTCTCCTGGGATTAGAAAACCGTGTCTCACCCAGCCCTAACGAGCATCCAACCGGAGCTGTTAATTGCTCTCCAGAATCTCAGCTTGCAGAACAGAATAAAAAGTCTGCAGCTGTCCTCCTTAGGAAGACAATCTTGAAAATGTGACAAGTGTCACTGAGGCAGAGAGCCTGGGGCAATCGCTAGAGGAAGTGAAAACCGCCTCATTCAGCTCTGCCAGGGGTTAGCTCAGACACCCAGGGACGCCAATTCAGACATCAGCCTTGTTCATTCTGTCACTGCTTGTGTGAGGAAGCAGAGGGAAGGTCACCGATCCACACATTCTCCTGGGAGCCAGGCCTCGTTTTGGGGACACACGGGCAGAGTATATTTTTGTGGGTGGGGCTTATATTTGTGGGTGGAGCTTAGACGAATACTACCACCTTGCCCTCCCCCCATACCAATCTGACCCCTATTTGTCATTTAAAAAAAAAAAAAAAAGGCAGCTAGGAGCCAAGGAGAAGATTTCAAGTGACCAGTGACTTGGTTTTGCCCAGCTGCAGATGCCTGATACTCAGCACCTGTGACGTTCGGAGTGGAATCTAATATCTCATTGAAAGGTGACACAGGGCCAGAAAGAGTTAATGAACTCCCAGACTGACCTGACCCAGGGCCGAACTTTAAAGACTGGTTACAGAGGAACAGCCGTGTTAGTCTGTATTCGCAAAAAGAAAAGGAGTACTTGTGGCACCTTAGAGACTAAAAGATGCTCAAATAAATTGGTTAGTCTCTAAGGTGCCACAAGTACTCCTTTTCTTTTTGCGAAAGACTGGTTAGGAAGAGATGGAAATGAACAGAGCTTTGAAATGCAGCCCCATTGTTAGAGAGAAAAGGGGAGCTGTGTGCTCAGGGCTTGTGATGTCAGCAAACAAGTCTTGTCTATTACTATGGCTTTGATTCAAAGATCAAAAAAAAGGAGTGTTAATATTCAGGAAGACACTTGAGTGAAATAGCACTGTTGTCTAGATGTCTCTTTGAAGGTTGTGGTAACCTGTTTAATGGATAAATGACCCTGTGCTAATTGCCAGGATGTTTGGGAGAAGGAAAGTTAAGCCAATTGTCTTCTCAGGTCAAAAGGCTTCTGGAAATGTATAAAAACCCTGGGACACTATCCTTCTTCATCTTAGATCTGCTTTGGGTTTCAAGAAGGGGAAACCCTGAGCCATAAGGATTGAGATCCCCAGTCACTGACTGGAGTCACCCTGAATATGGACATTGGACTGTAACCTGTGGACTATTTCTAAAAGGACTTTTGGCAACTACAAACTCACCATCTCTGCTAGGTATCAGGACCTCAAGAAATGGAACTCAAGTCTGTCTGTATATTGATCTTTCAACAAACTCTCTCTCTCTTTCCTTTTTTAACAAATTTTAGTTTCGTTAACAAGCATTGGCTGTCAGTGTGAATTTTGGGTAAGATCTAAGTTATCATTGGACCTGGGTGTGTGGCTGATCCTTTGGGACTGGAAGACCCTTGTCTTTTATATGATGAGATAACACTTCCAGTAATCATCATCATATCTGACATGTGTGTCTGGAGGGAGGCCGGAGGCTGGGCAATGTAAGGGAACGGCGTTGTTTGGACTTCTGAGTAACCAGTGAGGTAAGACAGAGGCTGTTCTGGTAAATCTACGTACTGGAATATCCACCAGGGGTTTGTCTGCCCCGTTCTGTTTGCAGTTCACCCTAATTGAGTGACCTCAGCTGGCTCCGACAGGCATCATCGTTGCCGCACCCAAAACAATCCACTGGCCATGCAGGAACCTCAGCCAAAGCTGCTGCAAAGGGAGCCAAGACCAGGCGGGATATTGCTCACCTCCCTCTGGGAGCCATCGGCAATGTTGCTGGAGTTTAAGGCGAATATGGCCCCTCGCGCTCCCACATAGAGGATCCCCTTCTCGTCCTCCAGCAGCAGGGTGGTGTAGTTCAGGGCGTGGCTGCTGAAGCGCCGGACGTCGGACAACTCTGCAGAGGGAGAAGCACAGGGCAGTGTTAGAACAGGACACTTGGCTAGCTGGCTCAGGTCATCTAGGTCTAGGTCTCTGGGACTAGCCCTTTGTCCTAGCCCACCAAACAGGGGTGAATTGCACCTCTAATGTACCTGCATGAGACAGGAGTGGGGATAACTTCACTGGCATTAGAAGGGAAATCCACTTCTCTGGTATCTGCAGATCTATATGAACGTATGTTTTCCCAGGCCCGGGCCGGAGGTTCCTGGGTGCTATTGTGAGATTTCAAAGGGGGGAGAAGGATTCAGGATTTGGCCGTGCACAGCGGGGAAACCGTTTGCACCTCCAGAAGAGGACGGACCTGGGGTCTGTTGGCCGTGTGCGCGCCAAGCAGAACTAAACTGCAGCGGAATTGTCACTCCCGTAGACAGGCAAAGCAAAGCAGGACCTGCGGACAGCACTCAGCGTCGGGATGCGTAGGCAGCAACGTGGGTTTTGGAGCAATCTCCCGGACTCACACAAATGTGGGGCTGGAAGGGACCCTCAGAGATCACCCAGCTGATCTACACGGGGTGGGAAAAGGAAACCAAGCGTCTGGATGAGTCTGAGCAGAGGAACCGATGCCCTTCCGCAGACGCACCAGGGCACATGCAGACAGATGTGATCGCTGCTTCTGAGCTGCATTTATTAGGAGCTGAAGGACAAGGCTGCTTCCCCGGAGCCAGTGTGACTCATCTCTGGAAGTGCCCGCGAGCCGCACACCAGCTGTCGATGCTGAGTCCTGGTCACTTGGATTCAGCGCTTGCTCTTTGTTGGGCTGCTGTATCGGGTCCCCCAGCTCCAGGGAACCCCTCTCTCTCACCAATCTGTGTTTAAGTGATGCATCTACCAGGCACTCGGCTGTCACTCCCCCGGGCTGCTGCTGCACAGCTGGGTTTATTTCACGCTCGTATCTGGACCTTCCTTAGAGGTTTTTAAGGTCAGGCTTGACAAAGCCCTGGCTGGGATGATTTAACTGGGAATTGGTCCTGCTTCGAGCAGGGGGTTGGACTAGATGACCTTCTGGGGTCCCTTCCAACCCTTATATTCTATGATTCTATGATTCTTTGCGTTGGCTCAAGAGCGTCCATAAGAAACATGAATCTGTGCTTTACAGTCAGACGGGAACAGCAAACTCCTGCAGCTGTGGAGTTGGGTGGGGAAGGTGCTGGGGGCAGCCCCCTACCCCCCCCCCCCGACTTTGCCCAAAGGATTGCATGGTGACACAGAGCTGCTGCTCCTCTATCCTGGAGGTGGGGGTCCGTGGAGAAGTGGGTCCCAGCATGCAACAACAGCACTGCATGCTGGGCCCAGGGCGTCCTGGCAGGAGAGAGGTTTCAGGAGGGAGACTGGTTTAGGGAGGGCATCCTGCTGGAAGGCACATGGGCACAGGGGGCAGCATGAAGGGGCAAAGCTGAAAGTGGGAGGAAGGACGGAGGGGAGCGGAGAGAGAGAGCAGGAGGGAACAGGAGCAGAGACATGCAGGGAGGGTGAACAACCAGAGCTTAATGCAGAAGGAAGCTGGGGAAGGGATTCGAGGAATCAGGGACTCCCAGGAGCCCATCCCCGGACTGTTATACCCTCTCAATTCCCACTTGGCAAAGGGAGCTTCTCACAAGCTGAGCTGGCCGTCTGAGGGCTTGGGGGCTCAGGCCAGGGGTAGCCACCTCTCCAGGTGGACGAAATGGGTGTGGGACTTACAGGACGCAGCAGGGGGCTAGAAACCAGGCCTGAGGGGGAAGAGAAGGGCAGCCTGAGGTCAGGGAGAGAGGGAGAGCCATGCAGGGAGCAGGAGCCTACTGGGTGAAAAGCCCCCGCTCAGAGGACCACCAAGGAGTCGTGTGGCTGGAGGGAAGGCAAGGCAGGCTGCAGGCCAGGCTGTAAGCCAGGGGAAGCCCTGAAAAATGAACACGGAGACTTTGGAGCCTAGAGGGAAACTGAGGCAGCAGATGGGCCCAAAGCCAGCCCAAGTGAGTCCCTGCTCAGAGTGTCTCCCCTGCCCCCTGGCTTTAGTGCATTATAGGACCTCCCCACATCGGCTTGCATCAAGGGCCCACATGGGAGAGGGGATCTCGGCTGGGAGAAGGCACCTTTCCAAATGGCAGCAGCTGGCAGGGCTGCCCATGACTGTGGCCGTGGCCCGTTCAGTTCCTCTTAGAGCTGCCAGCCTGGCTCACGCCCAGGGGCAGGGAGAGACGGGAAGTGGGGGCTGGCTGGCGGCTTGCTGCTTCCCTTGGGGGGGGCCGAGGCCGGCTGGGGCTTCGTAAGCAGAAGTGGGAAAGCCCCACCCGGCGGCGGGGGGGAGCAGCTGTGATGTCACAAACGCCGCAGGAAGACGGGGCTCCGCACCGCCGGCCTGGGGTGCAGCCACAGGAGCCTTACGGCTGTAACTGCCGGGGCAGCTGCAGCCGGGGTGCTTTACCGGCTGCGTTATCGCCCTGCCCACGCAGGAAGGGGGGATAAGCTAGGCCTGTGGGTGGCACCTTTTCCCCGGTACAACGGCCCTGGTTTAACTCGACTTTAAAGCTGGGTAGTCCCACAGCAGGCAGCCCGATGCAGTGCTGATGCTGGGCCTGTCGCGTGTACGTTCCCTGAGTTCGGCGAAGCCCCTCTGACCCGGCTGAAACGGTCTCCACCCAGGCCAGCCGTATGAGCGTTTGTGTCCGTTAGTTAAACTGGTGCCTCTTCTGCCCGGCGACGAGGCCTCAGTGGGACTTCCCCTCACGAGCGGGAGATGGCTCCAGCCAGAATCCGCCATATCGTGCGGGTTTTAAGCCAGGAGACTGGGCCTGGTGGGCCACGAAGAGGGGCCCGTTTCCAGCCAGACGGTGGCTCGGGAATCCCCAGGCCTTGCTGCCGCGAGACAGGCCGATCTGTCGCATTTCACAGAGGAGCGCGACGCAGGAAGCACACGCCGCTGGGCAAAGCGGAGAATGTTTCCCTGTGGCATTTCACACCCGCGCGGTCACTGGGCTCACAGCATGGTGGGAAAAATGAAAACAAAAGCCAGTGGCCTAGGAAGGGATTTAGTGTAGTGGCGAAGGACTAACTGCCAGGAACTGGGGCTCCTTATCTTGGATCTGCCACTGCTTCCTTCTGAGGCCTTCACCAAGTCACCTTCTCTTTGCCCTGGTTTAAGAAGCGGAACCGTGGGGTCCTTACCCAGCCCAGGGAAGGGACTGGGGCAGAGCCGGCCGGAAACCCGTTTAGTGAACAACTTAAAAACTGTCTTCATTCGGAAGTGTTCGAACGAGCACATTTTAAGTTTTGTGGGTGAAATGTATGCGGGAAGCCCCCCAAATTCCTGAAAACATTCTCCCAAACATTCCATTTCCATTGCCCAAACCCCTGGCTGTGGGGAAACAAAACACTGCCATACAAATGGGACGCACCTTTCTTTTTAAAAAGTGTTGGTTTTTTTCCCACCCAAAAAAAGACCTTTTCATCTGAAGAAACTGAAAGCAGCCCCAGGGGTGAGGATTAACCAACGTTTGTAAAGCACTTTGAACGTGCACATCGAGTATTATTATTTAACCAGCTTGGCTAACGAGCGAAGAGGACAAAAGAAATAAATGAGGAGGAAGGTCTTGTGGAAAGCAAACAGCCCTAATTGCTTTCAGTCTCGTGTTGGAAAGTTTTCTTCACCAATTAAAATCCCTCTTCAGATTCAGGAGCCACTAGTGTCTGGGTCCTGCTACAACAAATCACACCGTTTATGACACCGGTGTCTTTCCACGGCTGGAAGGAGAAGAAAACACATCCCTGGAGAGCCCGGCTGAGGGCTGTGTACAGAGTCCGGCTGGAATTCATCAAGGAATAGTGTTGTTTAGGAGTTATAGAGCCAGGCACAAAAGGAAGACGCACGGAAACCTGACTGCGACTGTAGGGAAAAGAGCCAAACTTTCCACCCACTCCTTAAAGCAGCAGTGCGGTCTCCCTACAGGTGCCCAGAGGCAGCTGTCTGAGGTTTGTGTCTTGTTCCTGGGTCTAACGCGCACAGGAGCTGCAATTCGAAACGGGAGGGACAAAGGACGAGGTGCTCCCGGGGCCCAGTTCCACGACAGAGGGAGCTTTCCAAGGGTTTAGTAAGTTGCTAGGGGAAAAGAGGGGCTCAGCCTCTGTGGCCCACCCAGCTCATCGTCCCCCTGCTGCGGCTGCTCACCTGGGGCACAATCGAGCCCAACAGCGAGGGGGAGGGCGGGGTGCTTCCTGCCGCTAATTTCACACAGGCCGCCGAGGAGCCATTGAGCGGGAACAGCGTCTGGGCCCAATCCTGAGGGGCCTGCAGAAAGAAGGTAACTAACCAAAAGCCCCAGGCAGGGGCTCCTGCCAGCTGGGCTTTGGAGGTGCTGAAGGGTGAAGCAGCTCAGGAGATGAGCTCCCCACAATGGCACAGTCTGTCTGTGGCTTCACCCCCCACCCCGATTTGCGCCGCTGAGAGATCCTTTCAGGCCCCAGCCCGGCGGGCCGAGCCAGCCCGGTGCTAGGAGATCGAAGCCCGTTTAGGTGCAGGAAGTATGGGGGACCTTGCTGCCCCCGCTGGCTGGCTCATAACTCTCTGGAGAGCAGGTGCAATGGGCCCATCGCAGTCACATACACGCACCACTCGACCCTGAGCCCTCCCAGAGCTCTTTGCAGCCTTTAGAGCTCAAAGCTTAGTACAGAACAGGGAATGCAGCTTTCACTCCCGTGCACAGGGTCGCCCTGGCCTGCAGCAGAGCTGGGAGCAGAATCCAAGCTTGCAAGCCAGTGCCTTATCCATTGGCCCATAGGCACCAACTCTGTGGGTGGAGACCCACTGGGAAAAATAAAGTCAGGGCCTATGCAGTGGCCCACATAGTCCCCACTGGACCCACGTTTGCACAAGTGGCATCATCGGCTGCCCGCACCTTTCCCCCAGGGGTACTTCAGAGGCCGAGTGGCCGACTGTGGTCGCCGGCTGGGTGGGAGAAGTGAAGCAGCTTTTCCCTGAGACGG